TTAAAATGCAGTACTGCAGGCTATTTCTATTGACTGCCGGCTGCCTGGAATTTGGCAGTTCGAATCTCACCAGGCTCAAGGTTGACTCAGCCTTCCATCTTTCCGAGGTCAGTAAAATGAGGACCTAGATTGTTGGGGAGCAAGATGCAGACTTTGTAAACCATTTAGAGAGGGCTGCAAAGCACCGTGAAGCAGTGTATGAGTCTAAGTGCTATTGCTAACAGCTTTTATTTCTAGGTATACACGTCTTACACTGCAATGCACAAATATTTGTTGGGAACACATGGGTGCTATGGGTGAGTGCATGGGTACCAAGCAGGGGTGGGTTCTAAAATTTCTTACTACCGGTTCTGTGGGCATGGCTTATTTTGTGGGTGTGGCTTGGTGGAGGGGGGGTAATGTGACTGGGTGGGTGTTAGGATATGGTTTGAGCCTAACTAGTTGTCCAGGCAATATATGTGTACTGTAACTTTAATCTGTAAATGTATTATGTTACTTATTTATTTATTTATTTATTTATTTATTTATTTATTTATTTATTTATTTATTTATTTATTTATTTATTTATTTATTATATTTCTATAACGCCTTTCTCCCGTAGGACTCCAGGTGGTGTACAGCCAAGAAAAATATAGACACACAAACATCATAAAATTGCTAATTAAAATTATTACTTAGTTTGGTCAATCAAATAAAACCCAGAATTAGATAACATTTAAAAAAATCATTCACATGTTCGTATGTTTAGCCCCGCCTGTTGGAACATCAGGGTCCTGAGGGCACGGCGGAAAGCACGGAAATCAGGGATATTCCATATCTCCGGGGGCAGTTCATTCCAAAGGGTTGGAGCCCCCACAGAGAAGGCCCTCCCCCTGGGAGTCGCCAGTTGACATAATTTGACTGACGGTACCCTGAGTAGTCCCTCCCTGTGAGAACGAACTGGTCGGTGGGAGGCTATTGGTGGCAAAAGACGGTCTCGTAGGTACCCAGATCCTAAGCCAATACTTTAAAGGTATTTATTGTAATGCTGAGTCATGCTGTAATTAGGTAATGACTGGTTGTGAGTGTATTTAAGCAAGGTACTGTAACGTATTCAGTTTGATGATGAGATGATGAAGCTGCTATGATATGCTGCCATTGATGATGAAGCTGATATGATATGCTACCAGAGTATGATATGCTACTATTGAGAGGAGTTGCTATCTGCTAATCATCGTTTGATGGATCTGCTACCATCGTGGTTTGTGAACCAGAGTGAGTTTGTTATTCTAACCAACTAAAGTTTGTTTGGTAAGAAGATATCTGTAACTGCTGGACTGATTTAACTGGCAAAGACTTGGAATTTGTTTAAAGACTATGAGACTATTTTTCTACTATAAAGTAAGCTTTTGATAAACCAGTTTGCATAACTCTTATTCATTGCCCTCAGCAACGTTTCCTTGTGCATACACTCTGCTGGTTGGTAACACAACAACAATATCCTTAACAGTGGGCGTGGCCAACTTTTTTTTTTTTTTTTTACTTTTAAAAGCATTTTTTTCTACAACCTTAAGAGGTTGCAGAAAAAAATGCTTTGAAAAGCCTCTGCCGATCAGGCAACTCAGCTGGGATCGTCAGAGGCTTTCCAAAGCATTTTTTTAACCACCCCTTCGGCCGCGGGATCATCAGAGGCTTTTTTTTTACTTTTAAAAGCATTTTTTCGGCCGAAGAGGTGGTAGAAAAAATGCTTTTAAAAGTAAAGAAATAAAAAAGCCCCTGATGAGGTGGGCGGGGTAAGCGAGCGGTGACCGGGCTGGGGACTGGATCGGGGGCGTGGCCAGCCAATGTTATTACCGGTTCTCAGAACTACTACAAATTTTTACTACCGGTTCTTGCGAACCGGTGCGAACCGGGAGCAACCCACCACTGGTACCAAGGATAGGAGTTACTGAGCACAGGTGAGCGAGTGGGCAGGTGTTATATGCAGGTGAAAAACATGGCAGGAGTGGGAGAGATTTGTGATCTCCAATCAGTTTCCCCATTGATTTTGCGTGTGGGAAGCTGTCAAGGAGGGTAGCAAAGGGTGATCACATTACCACGGGGTGCTGCCACGGTGGTTAATTGCAGCTGGTTGGTACGTACCTGAATTGCAATCACATTTGGGGGATGTTTTAACAAACTGCAATTTTGCAAACTGGTTGTAAGTCTCCTGGTTCTTAACTTTGAATGGTCACTGAATAAGTAGTCATAACTCATAAAATAAAGGGTCAGGTGGGGAACGATCTGTTAGAAGCTTTTGGATTCTGGTTCTAATCACTTCTAGCCAGCATGGTCAATGGGCAGATGTGGCAAAATTTACATCCCATCAACATCTTGAAGTTCCTAGCCCCTGTGAATGAAGTATCTACCGTGTTTCCCCCCAAAATTAATTATATTAATTTTTGCTCCAAAAGAGGCATTATGGCTTATTTTCTGGTTAGGTCTTATTTTGGGGGAAATACAGTACTAAACGCCTCCGTCTGGTTGGCGATCTTAACTGGGGCTTATTTTGGGGGTAGGACTTATATTACGAGCATCCTGAAAAATCATGCTAGGGCTTATTTTCCGGTTGAGTTGGGTCTTATTTTCGGGGAAACAGGGTATCTATGCAATTTCATTTTCTTGTTAAATGTTTCCTTATGTTTCCTCAATCAATGTAAATGTTGCCTAGGATTCTGGTTATTAATAATGTGCATTCATTGAACGTCGTATCTCACAGAATGCTTGACCACAAGTGTTCAAAATTTAGATAATAGTGCAACTGAGGCCTGTTTTCACCTCAGAGTACAATCATCATCACCGCTTGTTGAATCATCCCATCGATCATGCATCAAAACAGATCACCTTCAGACAAACCCAGGACCGAATTATTCTCGGAACACCCAAACTGGTCCCTGAATCTACTCAGTCGGTCTCCATACAGCGTTGTCAAACAAGCTTAGTTTAGATGAAGCTGCAGAATTACGAATAAAAGGGCTAGTGATGGAATTGAACACGCAAAGAGACATGTCATCGCAGGAAAACTGCACGAACATTCAGAATTCATTGCTAATCAGTTCCTCAATACTATAACATTTGTTATTCAACATGTCACGCATAGAATCATAGTTGGAAGGAACCTAAGAAGTCCAACTTTTGCACATTGTAGGATCATTCATTGCACTATCCCTGATTGTTTGAAGACTTTGTGAAAACCTCCTTGCAGTAAGAGTCGTTATTGTCAAAATGTTCCACTTAAATTTCTAATCTGTATTTCCATCCTTGAACTTCCATCCCATTACTTCTCGTTTTATTCTCTGGAACCAGCAAGAATTAAGTCCTAACCTACGGTGGGGAAGTCTACGGTGTGACTTTCCTCTTGATATCTGATGACAACCATCATGTGCTCCCAACCTTCTCTTTTGCAAGCATTTCCACACCGTTTAATCATTCTGTGTAGGACTTTGTTGCCATCCTTTGATCATCTTAGTAACCTTTCTCCGGAATTGCTCTGGTGTATCGTGATCTTTTTTAAACTGGGGTGTGTAGAATCGAACTAAGTAGGAAGGCAGAACAAGGAGCAGCGGATGTTTGTTGCACTTTCCTTTTTGACCAAAAATGATGGGTGAGTTTACGAGAGAGAATAGAGTGAATTTTTATAGAACCATGTTTAAGGATGCAGGCTGGTGAAGTTAAGGAGGTGCACCAACGGTGAGTTTCAAATTCAATTTTTTTTACTACCAGTTCTGTAGGTGTGGCTTGGTGGGCATGGCATAGCTTGGTGGGCGTGGCTTGGGAAGGTTTCTACAAAATCCCCATTTCCTCCCGATCAGCTGGGACTTGGGAGGCAGAGAATAGACGGGGGCGGGACGTCAGAATTTTTACTACCGGTTCTCCGAACTACTCAAAATTTCCACTACTGGTTCTCCAGAACTGGTCAGAACCCGCTGAAACCCACCTCTGAGGTGCACCATATTCCTGATAAAAGGCCACATTAATTATATAGAAGCAGGTCTCATACATTCTATCTGAGATGGAAAGGGACTGGATTTTTCCACTTGATCCGCTTGTCAGATCCATTTATACTTCTGACGTACCCAAACAGGGAAGACATAACCGGTAGACTCACAGCTAAGATTAGAGCAACATCTGTCAGCTGTGGCTAGGGGGACCTTTGCACAGGTTCACCTAGTGCACCAATTGCGACCCTACTTGGATCAGGAGGCTCTCCTCACGGTCACTCATGCCCTTGTCATCTCACGGTTAGATTGCAACACGCTCTACATGGGGCTACCCTTGAAAAGTGTTCGGAGACTACAGTTGGTCCAGAATGCAGCCGCACGAGCTGTCGTGGGTGCACCTAGGTACACCGACATTACACCAATTCTCCGCACGCTGCATTGGCTCCCTATTACTCTCCAGTCACAATTCAAGGTATTGGTTATTACCTTTAAAGCCCTACATGGCTCAGGGCCAGGTTATCTTCGAGACCGCCTTCTACCGCATAGCTCCCAGTGACCGATAAGATCCCACAGAGTTGGTTTCCTCTGAGTCCCATCAGCTAAACAATGCCGGCTGGTGGGCCCGTGGGGGAGGGCCTTCTCTGTGGCTGCCTCAGCTCTCTGGAACCAGTTACCTCCTGAGGTCCGGACCATCCCCACCCTATTGGCCTTCCGAAAAGCGGTGAAGACCTGGCTTTTCCGGCAGGCCTGGGGCCGTTGATCTCGCTCTTGTGATCTGGTGAGATCCGGCCATGAATGGCATGAATGAGTTTTAATGTTTTTAATATTTTTAATTTTTAAATGTTTTTTATTAGGATTTTAAATGTATTGTGAGCCGCCCTGAGTCTTCGGAGAGGGGCGGCATATAAACTGAATTAAATTGAAATTGAAATTGAAATAGTAACAAAATTTGAAACCCACCACTGCCTCATAGGTCCTTAGAAAGAACCCAGTGCATACAAATGCAACACCAATTAAAGAACTGGCAGCTGTGACTTCACATTTTTGTGTAAATAATAACCATAATGCCGTAATTTATTATCCTCAAATTGCGAGAAAGTGAAATTATAAAAAAAGACAAATATGGAATCGGTATATTTAAGTGTTATTTCGTTCTTCTTTCTTTTACAGCACAAAAATAATATATTCACTAACTTTTCTTTCTTTCTTTTTTTTTAAATCTCCGGTAATGCAAAACTTCTCTTCCTAAAACATCCGCTTCCAAACATTCAAAGTCATACATCGTGGGTAGCTTTTTATTTATTTATTTAAAAAAAAAATTGTTGGACAGATATTCTAAAAATGGTTGGCAGCAACCTTTGCAACATACAAAACATCTCTATTACACTGATCAACACCAAACCCGAAAGTGCATTTACTCATCGCCATCGGAGAGCTGGCCGGTCAGAAAAGTGATGGCCTCTCCCTCTCGGAAAAATTCTGTGCAACATAGCAACACAAGTGAAAGGCCTTAGTCACCAAAGGACAACTCCCATCCCTACCGGAGTCACCGCTAGGCTGCCTGTTTGCTTAGATGTCCTTTAGCGTCCAGACCTTCCTTGATTCCAGTTCATAATTAAACAAGGTCATTATCATTGATCATTTCAGCACCTTCGTAAGAAGTAGCATCCCACCACCTGTCCTTCGATGCAAGAAGTAGACCGGGAATAGGCTAGCCGTGAACTGGTTTACACATGCTTACTGGTCGCCTGATGACTTGCTGCATCTTTGCACGTGTGAATGGATACCAGAGGCAGTTTTCACATCATTGAATCAAATACAATACTTATAGAGGCCTGTAAGGTGAAGACATGGGAAATCGTGGTTTCCTGCCAAGTAAATGAGCCACGGTCAATTTGTAGGATCACCCTGTTCCTTTCTTACTCATACTTACATGCCTCCATCATCTTCGTTTAACGACCCCATAATCCCTTGCGGGGTGGAGTCTGGGCAACTGAATGGAGCTAGCAGAGTGTTTTAATGGCCGGATGCCTTTCCTGACGCCAATGCGGAGTTTTGTTCAGCAGATATATTCTTATTGTGTGAAATATCTGCCTCTACCTAGGATCGAACTCACAGCCTCCTGATTGGGAGGCGAGAGCTCCACCTCTAGGCCACCACAACACTCGCTTACATACCTCCATGCTCAGTTTTAAATAAACAAACCATAGTTTCCCTATATATTCAAATTCAGGAGGTGATTTCTTTGAAACCACAGGACTTTAATTCAACTCAGGACCAAACCGTCGTAGCTGGTTCCCAACTGTAATTTTTTTTTTAAAAAAAACTAGAACTCTTTAGTTTTATATCCCAGGGAACTGATTTGTTTAAATTGGATTGGGGCCCTTCTTCCTCTTCCTTTTGGCCCTGCTAAGGCTGCAAACCTTGTAAGGCTTGAAACTGGTAGGGTTCCAGAGTTATGTCCCAGTTTCTCCTCCCCCACCCCCGAGTCCATTCCCATACTCAGCTGCCAGGAATTGAACACTGCATCACTTGATTATTCTTGATCACCGAATAATCAAGTGATGCATCTGCATGGATGGATGATTATTTGCGTCTTATGTGCTACAGATCAAAACCGAGAGCACTTTGATATAAATACATCTTTTTATTCCTGCTTTACACCAAAGTTCTTCTTGCACTTGCTTTGTGGTATCTCTGCATCTTTGTAAAGATTATCCAAGTATAAATTTGTTTTGGGGGAAACAGGAAAAAAAAAAACATTGTTCTACCGTGTTTGCCCGAAAATAAGACCCTGTCTTATATTATTTTGAACCCCGAAATAAGCGCTTGGCCTTATTTTCGGGGAGGTCTTATTATTTTGGGGCGTGTGGAGCAAGATGGGGCTCCTCTTGCCGTCTTACCTGGTTTCCAGCTCTGCGTTTAAATATTTTTGGGGAGGGCTTATTTTTGGGGAGGCTTATTTTAGCACATGAGCTCAAAAGCCCAATTGGGCTTATTATCAGGGGATGTCTTATTTTCGGGGGAAACAGGGTAGTTTTTTCTGAAGGTGAACATTTTGGGAAATACTCTGTATGTGCCATATTTTGCTAAAATCTGACTATGGTTGACCTGGGATTGAGCTGAGAGTCCGTATATTGGTGTGTCTCTAAGCAGAGCTGGATGAACCATGAAAGCTCGACTTTCTGTTGGCTCACAAGATAAACAAACATTCTTAAACATAAAAAAGCGATCTGATTTTGTTCTTCACCCAAGAAAAGTGCTTCGCAGAATTCTTTTGCTGTCCAAAATGGAAGATCTAGCAAGACTTAATTCTATAAAACCCAATTTATGTGAAAAAGATAACTGCTGCATACACCAAAGGAAGATTTTTCACTCTCAGAAGACAAGCCAAGATAAAAGCTCCAACAGTAGTTAACAAAGGGATAAGCAGCACAGCAGTGTCGTATTAGATCTCTAATCAGGAATCATTAAACGGGCTAATAGCTGCATGCATTGTCTTCCATGGGAAAGAAATGCAGCAGCTGGTGTCTCTTTTAGAATTTCCTCTTGAATTGATACATAGATCCCTACCAAGATTCACAAATTCAACAATCTTTTGCCCCGAGTTCAGTGGATTGCATCCTGCGTCCTTTATTTTGTTGGCAGAGACATCCAGGGGTCAAAAATGCCAAGATGGCAGTCACCTGCCTGATTTTTATGTGGTTGTCATTTTCATTTTTTTTGATCTCTTATGGACACTCCTCCCGGCTTGAATCAACGTCGGTTCCTAGCATGCCATACACAACCTCCTAAGATTTAAATCTTAGGGGAGTAAAGACTATTCGACATCTACATTTCGAGCGGCTCTTAAGAGCCAAAACAAATTAGAAGCACTGTCCTATCCTCTTCATCCTTCATTCCTGCAAAGAGGATGGATCTTTTAATTATCACGTCAGAAAAATTATGGGTTCTGCTGGGAATGGATATATACAGTAGGTACCGCAATATTTAGCTGTCACATTAAAAGTATAGCATTTTATTTTTATTTTTTTTCTTTGGATCTGATTGCCAGTTCCTCACTTCTGTGACAGGAAAGTGAAAAGGGGTTCACTCAGGAACATATTTGGGGTCAGAATTGTCCTGCATGTGTAGCGACTGTATAATTTTGAAGGAAAGATGGGTTTTTAAAAAAAATTGTATAGCTCAATGCAGCTTGTCCTCATCCTACGACCGTGATGGCGAACCTATGGCACTCGTGCCACAGGTGGCACGTGGAGCCATATCTGTGGGCACGCAAGTGTTGCCCTAGCTCAGCTCCAGCGCATATGCACGCACCGACCAGTTGAATTTCAGGCCTTCCGGGCCCATTGAAAGTCGAGAAACGAGCCGTTTCCGGCCTCCAGAGGCTGAGGGAGGCCATTTTCGCCCTCCCCAGGCTCCTAGAAAGCCTCTGGAGCCTGGGGAGGGCAAAAAAAGGGCCTACCAGGCCCACTGGTAATCTTTTTGCCATTGTGTGCCAAAAGAGGAGTGCGGGGGAGGGGGTGTTGCGCATGCATGCGTGGGAGAAGGGGAAGGGCATGGGGGAGGCATTGAATTATGGGTGTGGGCACGCATAATAATAATAATAATAATAATAATTTTATTTCTATACCGCCCTTCTCCCGAAGGACTCAGGGCGGTGTACAGCCAATTTAAAAACACAAGACACAACAATAATTAAAAATTAAAATAATTAAATAGATTTGGCCGATTTAAAACCCCAAAAATTAAAATACCCCAATTTAAAATTATTATATTGACAGCCCTGCACACACACACCCCATGCTCTCCCCGCTTTTGGCACGCGACAGCAAAAAGCTTAGCCATCACTGTCCTAGGACGATTGAGACTAGAAATCTGGTCGCGAGTCGTGGCACTAATGTGACCCCACCAGTTTTTCACAGCAGTCATTAGTCGAATCCCCTCAGTCATCAAGTCAATGATATTGACTTGTTAAGGGAACCCATTTTCCTGAATGGGTGCTTTTTTTGCCATAAGCTAGCAAAAAAGTTGTAAATTTGCAGTCATGTGACCCTGGGATGCTGCAACCGGTCGATAAAGGTAAGCTATCATGGGACCTCGGGGGGGGGGATGACATTTTATGACAGGGGTGCCAAACTCGATTTCATTCAGGGTTGTAATTGACCTCGGGGGGGCCAGTTTGAGCGTGGCCAGGGTGGTCATGGCTAGCTTGACGTCACTCGTGTCAGGGGTGCCTATGGTGGCCGGCCAGATCTAACCACCCCGTGGGCCGGATCCACCCCTCAGGCCTTGACACCCCTGCTTTATGACAACCGGAAGTGCTTTGTGAGCTGTAAAGCACCCATTCAAGGTCACTCTATAAACTGTTGTAAAATGACTGGTAGAGAATTGTAGCCCATTTATTCTGCGACATAAAACTTGATGGGCACCACTGAAAATTGAGCTTTTACAGGTAGTCCTCGACTTACGATCGCAATTAATCCCAAAATTTCTGTTGTTTAAGTGAGACATCTGCTAAGTGAGAACTTTGCCCCATATCACCACCTTTCTTGCCTCAGTCGTTAAACGAATCGCTGCAGCTGATAAGTTAGAAACCGGGTGTTAAGTGAATCTGGCTTCCCCATTGACTTTGCTTGTTAGAAAGCTGCAAAAAGGGATCATGTGACTTTGGGATAGTGACTACATAGCGATGGTCATCAATGTGAGTCAGTTCCCAAGCGTCTGGATTTTGATTTCATGACCACGGAGATGCTGGAATTATCGTTAACTGTGAAAAATGGTCATAAGTCACTTTTTTTCCAGTGCCACTGTAACTTTGAACAGTCCCTAAGCGAATTATTATAAATCGAGGGCTACCTGTATTTCTTAAGCTAGAAAGTTCAGGCAGGATTGTAGGGACACCAAAAATAGATGTTAGGTTTTACCTCTTAGCGTTGAAAAACCTTCAACTCTCAGTAACTCTGTGCCCCCCTTATTGATCTTGCCAATTATCCTCCACTAACTTTATCACACTGAACTCATTGGGAGCCTTCAAAATTGCAATCTTTTCCACTCATCCAAAATTCAACTTCTTGGTTGTACTTAAATGCAAAGAAACAGAAGAACCCAATAATTGGTTCCTCTTACTGCAGATGAGAAATATGTTACAGATCCTGGGAAACTCCAGAAGATGCCATCCTGTTTGTTCTCTCTGCAGTCCACGAAGTTTACCGAAACGTGGCAATTGGTAGGCCTCAGCACCACTGTTCAATCCAGCAGCATGCAGGATCTCATCGGCACACCTGTCCAATCTTCCAAGAGGGAAAAGAACTAAAAATCCCTGCTCGCATGGGATTCTGCTCATGTGTTTAAACCTTATAGAACTTTGGATTGTGCTTCCTATTTGCTTAACTGGATATGTAACTCTTGGATAATGCATGTGACATTGATACAAAAACAGATCTGAAAAAGCAAGAGCCAAATTTTTGGTATTTCTTCGGGTGAAGAACAAAACAGTAACTTTTGCAATGAAGCTAACCCGGAGAAATAGGACCCCCTTTTTTCAGTGCCAAATCCCTTAATCTTTTGTTAGAATCCAAAGAACCAACGGTTGTTTTTATATATATATAAATAAGTCATAAAATGAGGGTGTGGCTGACTGATGAGGCCTTATAAGGCCGAAATAGATCTATCTTAGTCTCCCTTAAGTCTTGCAGCAGACAACATAATGCTGCTTAAATGTCTGATAAAGCCTAGAAAATAGTGATTTGGGATGTCACTTAACTATGGCAATACAAACATCTTGATTTACGTAGGAAAAACCCTGGCTAGAACAGTAATGCATATACATATATATTTATATTTTGCTGATAAAGAAATAAAGGGAGACTAGTATAGATCTATTTCAAGCTATTTAGCTCTCATCAGCTAGCCATACCTTTACTTGGATTCGAACTTGGGCTGCCTTCATGTTAGGCAGTTGTATTAACCTCTTGAGCCACAAGTTCTCCTCCCTTCATCAGCTTGAGCCAGGGGAGAGTTTAAGTGTTTTTCTATCGAGGCACCTGGTCTACTCCAACACGTGGGAGGGAGCATTTTGCTTCCCTTTCGCCTTTCAGCTCCAATCCAGGAGCCCTCAAGCAGTCGCATTCACGCCAAACCATTTTTATACCAAATTTATATTTTGCTGATAAAGAAATAAAGGGAGACTAGTATAGATCTATTTGATGAGAGATCTATTTAGCTCTCATTTACATGATGAGAGCTAAATAGCTTGAAATAGATCTATAACATATATATAAATCCACCATCTCACAAAAATGTAACTGTGAATGGCTGCCGTACAATAAATAGGGAATGTGGATCTGCAGCATGATTTAAGTGAGACTAGAATCATTTTAAGGGAATGTATGACTTGGCGTTGATTTCTTTTTCAATACGCCGAAGCTCAGAAGGCTCGGCTTTCTAAGGGAGAATAGAACACCATGTGAAATAATCCACAGCCCAAGCCCAGTTCCAAAAAATATTTATCTTTCCTTCCCGTGACCAGCAATTACCTTTAAAGCAATGATTTCAGATTTCCTACAACACGAAAAACCCTTTTCACCTCTATTGTTTTTTTTTCAGAAACACTCATCACAAGGCCCCTTAAAAACTCACTTCATAGAATGGGCTGGGCAAGGCTTCCTGGAATTCATCAGTTAAAAAAAATGCAAGTGCGCACTTTACAACACATTTTATACCTTCAGTCTTAACATCAGTTGCAGGTAGTCCTTGATTATGACCGGTTGCTTCGCAAGCGTTCAAAATTACGATGGACTTCCCCGGAATTAATTCACCACCCAGTTTCAAAATCCTGACAGCCAGTCATGCGATCACACTTTGGATGCTTGCCAACTGGCCATTTGTGGCATCCTCTGGTCATGTGACTGTGATTTTCTGCAATTTTTTTTTTTTTTTTGCAGGAAACTATCATTTACTTCCATTTAGCCCATCGGCTAAAACAGGTTTGTTTAACAACCACCGCTTTCACTCAATGACTGTTGCCAAAAAGGTCATAAAATTGGGCGTAGCTCAATTACAGTCATGATTGAGGACTACCTGTACTGTGATTATGGACCGAACAGATAGAACAATCAGCATCCCGAGCTGGATGCCACCCAGATGTTTTAGACAACAACTTACGCTATCCCTGAACAGCATGTGAAAAGCTCAAGATGCAAGTTAAAGCCTAAAGCATCTAGAAATAGACAGGCTGGGAAAAGCTGCTTTAAGGAATTGGTATCAACTATGCTTCCTGATTTGGGAGAGGTGGCTTGAGTGAAGTACCTTCAACTGATCCTATTCCTTCTGAGAATATATTCTTGCTTCTTCAAAGAAAGCTTCCTTCCTTCTTCTCTCTGTCCCCCTGGGGATCAGCAATGAACCACCTGGTCTAATAGGGACCTTGGTAATGGAATGGGACCGCTTGCCGCAGCCAATTCACAATGGCCAACTCACCGCAGGACAATCCAACATGGCCAACTCACCATGCAACAACTCAACAATTCGATTTGCCGTATTTTTCAGAGTATAAGACGCTCCGGAGTATAAGACGCACTTTGGTTTTTGGGGAGGAAAATAAGGAAAAAAAAAATCTGCCTCTGCCTACCAGCATCCATCGATATTCATCTGGCAATGCATTCTGTCAGTGTGAGCGAGTTGAGGGCTGTTTGGAAACTGAAACAGTATTTGCTGTGTGAGCAACAAGGGAAGGAGACAGCAAGGAGCCTGGGCGTGGCTTAGCTCTGAGTCTGTGCTAAAGCTGCAAACTAGTCTGCTGCTCAAAACTGAAACTGAAACTCCTCTCCTCTGCTTGTGTTTTGCTTGGAAAACCTGCTTTTGGTATTGTATATTTTACTTCATGTGTTATATTATATATAAAGAGAAGTTATTGAATCCTGCTAAATCAGTTACTTGTGTGTGCTTTCTGGATGTGATTGCTGCTGCAAACTCTGAGTCTTTGTGGCAAATAGCAAACAGCCAGGTCAGCTTCAGCACATTATTGCAGCCTGATTCAGCACAAGCATATGATTGGTGGGTAGATCGGCCTCCTGGAATACCCCCAATCAGCTGTTCCAGGCTGCAGGGATTGCCACAGACCATGGCAGCCTCCGTGCCTCGCGTTTTTGGCTACATTCGGTGTATAAGACGCACCCAAATTTTCACCCTCTTTTAGGGGAGGGGGAAGTGCATCTTATACTCTGAAAAATACGGTAATTATTGTCATTCCCATTTCATTTTATCTTTTCTTTAGCATCCTTTAATGATTCTATTTCTGTTCCTTCGATATTAGTGTCCCTCTTGTCCCTTGGCGAGCTGGCTGTGGCAAGTTGTCGTAGACCCCCTAGTAAGTATCTTGTAGATTGCTCTCATTTTGAGTGGTCTTATTATTGAGGAACACTCGTGAATCGTTTAAGAAACTCAACAACTCCACATAGAACAGTCTTAAGATCACTGCTGAAAAGGAATGGGTGAAGAAATGGTCTTTAACGGTGATGCAAGCATCTAGGCAACATTATACCTCAATTCAGCGGATTCACCTGATGAATGCGAGTCTCTATACATTTGTTCTTTTTCTTGATGACTTAAGATGGGAGAATCTTCTAGACATAAGTTAGGAGTTTTAGTCAACGATTAAGCAATGATCCTGCGTGGGCTGTATTGGTCAGGTCTACAGAGTAGTCAAGTTAACAGTGTTGGTCAGGATCGACTCTAGTGCGGAGAAAGTCACAAGTCTTCCCAATCATTCCCTGGACTGGTAAAATAAAATATATCCAGATTCTGAATTTTTTGATATATCGGATGTCAGGCCATAGAATTCTTCAATAGCTTGTGCATCAATTTTCTAAGGGGAGAAAAGAAAAGAAAGAGGCTATCAAAGATTTCAGGAATGCTGAAATTGATGTCATGTTTATAGCAATGGGATTTGGCCTCAGGTTTCAGCAAACTACACAACCAGGGACAAAATTCCGTGTTTCTCCGAAAATAAGACCCTGTCTTATATTTTTTTGAGCCCTGAAATAAGCGCTTGGCCTTATTGCCATGCACTCAAAAGCCTGATTGGGCTTATTATCAGGGGATGTCTTATTTTGGGGGAAACAGGGTAGTTAGCTAACTCTTTCCATATACTTTGTACTTGCAATATGCATGCATATATTTCTCCCTCATTGTTGAAAAGATTGTGGATAACTGAGATCTTTGGACTATTTCTGGTCTGAAAGTCTTACAACTCAGACTTTATTACGTTTTGTTTAATCCAAGACTCTTTTGCGTGAATTCAACTGATTCTTGGGGGGGAAAAAATATTTTGCTTTTTTCCCACCCTTCCTAACAGTACTATCTCGGTATAGGTAGTCCTCGACTTACAACAGTTCATTTAGTGACCATTCGAAGTTACAGCGCCCCTGAAAAAAGTGACTTATGGGCATTTTTCACACTTTCGACCGTTCAGGTGCAAGGCGACCGCATCCCCATGGTCACGTGATTTACTATTTGGACGCTTGGCAACCGACTCATATTTATGACGGCTGCGGTGTCCTGAGGTCACGTGATCAGCTTTTGTGACCTTTTGACAAGCAAAGTCAACGGGGAAAGCGGATTCACTTAACAATCGTGTTACTAACTTATCACCTTATCATCAAGCATGGCAAGGAAGGCTATGAAATGGGGCAAAACTCACTTAACAAATGTCTCATTTAGCAATGGAAATTTTGGGCTCAAAAATTGTGGTTGTAAGTCGAGGACTTCCTGTATAATGATTCCTGATTTCAATATCATCATTGCAGTCAGTGACATGTGACAAAACCTAAAACAACACAAAGATCATTTTTACATTATCCTCAAATTAAGATGTTACTCCATCTAAAACAAAGGCAGCTGTAGGAAATTTTGTAGCTCATCTGGATGGGATGTTCGGATTGTGATCTGATAAATATAAAGCAAACAAAATCATCGTCAAAACTTCCAAGACGAAACTTCGATTAGCAAGCGGAGTTATAAGACCGAGCTACAAACTACAGTGAAGGACTAAAGGTTATGGTCAAAAAAAGTGTAACAAAAACTCCTTTGACTTCACAACAGGTAGTCCTCGACATATGACTGTAAATGAGGCTGAAATTATGGTCACAGGTTAGGCTGGTTATTAAGAGGGTCAACAAACCACACCCTATTTTGCAGCATTTTTAAAAGGTGGTCATTAAGCGAATCAGTGCAGTCATTAAACAAATGCCATGGGTGTTAAGGGAATATGGTAAATATAAGCGAATCCATGTCGGCAAAGGGTGATTTTCGCTGGAAACCAAATTAAATGTTCATTTCCAACAAAAATGCAAATCGTGATCAAGTACATGGGTTGTCACAAATGACCGTAAATGTGAGCTAGTTGCCAAGCGCCCAAAATGTGATTAGATGGGGGAGGGAGGGGCTGTTGGAACTTTAAATCTGGATTGGGAGTAGCGTTGGGGAGGTAACTTTGAATGGTTGCTAAGCAACTATTACTAACTTGAGGCCTGCCTATATCAATGATGGCTAACCTTTTTGCCATCCCGGGGGAGTTTGGGGGGGGGTCGTGGGCACGCAACTTCCAGAAGTTGGGAAATGGGCCATTTCCACCCTCCGGAGGGCTTCTGGGGGGTGGGGAAGGCCGTTTTTCGCCCTCCCCAGGCTCCTATAAAGGCTCTGGAGCCTGAGGAGACCGAAAAACGGGCCTTCCCCACCACCCTCCAGAGGCTGGAAACAGCCTGTTTCCCGACTTCCAGTGGGCCCGGAAGGCCCGAAAATTAGCTGTCCGGGGTGCGCATGCATGCTGGAGCTGAGCTAGGGCAATGCTCACGTGCCCACTGATATGGCTCCGTGTGCCACTTGTGGCATGTGTGCCATAGCTTTGCCATCACGGGTCTATATTCTAACTGCCATCTTGACTTCTTTTTTTTTTTTAAATCAGTCATGGAAGATATGAATTCCTCCAAATCACATGGGAAATAATGATATTATTATATCTATTAAGCTGGCTGAGGAATTTTGGGAGTTGAAACCCGCACATCTTAAAAGTTGACTGGGTGGAGAAACTTTGCTTTAGAATAATAAGGATTTTACTTTCAGCAAATGAAATGCTGTTAACACATAAATGGGCCCAATTAAGGTTCGGTCGGTTTGCTTAAAATTGTCGATTTACTCACCTCTACAATATCATCATCAAACAGTAGCCAGAAGCCATGACTTTTCACAATGGTGATATAGTGTCCACGGTTAGGCCCACTGAGAAGGAAGGAAGGAAGGAAGGAAGGAAGGAAGGAAGGAAGGAAGGAAGGAAGGAAGGAAGAAGGAAGCAAAAAAACCCCACAAATTAAAATTAAAAAACAACAGAATCCTAGAGAATTTTCTAAACACAAAAGTAATGGAAGTAACATCCATGTTGACCTCTTCTTCTTCCTAGAATCCAAGGGTGACACTGAATCCTTTTCTCACTGTTTCTTTCACCCCCAAATGGGGAGCTCTGCAGGCGAACCTTCTCCATGCCAGCCTCCATGTTCAGTTGGCACCACCGGTGTTCCGATGGCAAGTGGGCCAAAAAGGGAAGACACAGGAAGGAAGGTGTGCGAGAGGGTGTTTGTTTATGTCAACGTTGACCCCGGCATCTACCTAGACAAATAAATCCCTGCAGTTTTCTTGGCAACACTTTTGAAAGTGGCTTGCCATGATCTTCTTCCTAGGGCTGAGAGAGAGTGACCGGTCCAAAGTTACCCTATTCACTGTCTTTATATCTAAGGGGGGACTGGCATTCATGGCCTCCTGTTTTCTGCCTTAAGCAGGGGTGGGTTCCTGGGGGTTCGGCAGGGTTTGGGCGATTCTCTAGCCAAGGATCGCCAGGATTCAGCGAACCCCTAAATGCCACCCCTGGCTGGCCCCGCCCACCCCTCCTTTCCCGGAGTCTCCACGCAGCTCCTTTGTCATTCCAGGTAAGTGCAGGGGCCGCGCGGAAGGTCTGGGAGGGCAAATAACGGTCCTACTGGAGGTTTCAGAAGTCTGGAAATGGGTCTGTTTCCGGCCTCCGGAGGGCCTGCGTACCCCAGGGGAAGCAGTTTTCACCCTCCCGGAGGCTCGAACAAAGCCTCTAGAGCCTGGGGAGGGCGAAAAACACACACACACACCCCGCCTTGGTGCAGGCAACCGACTAGGCCACGCCCACCATGGCCATGCCCACTCAGCAATAGGGCAGCGAAGCCCACTCCTGGCTTTAAGCACTACCCCAAAGTTGCTCTCCAGACCATTTAGAGTTACTTATTTCTCCTCTGGCTGCCATGCTGCCAGTATGAACTCAAAAGAGCGCTTATTCATGCCTCTGTCTTCCTCCCTCTCCAATTACGGGCTCCACGGAGTAAACCTATAGCTCTTTCAAATGCTTTGCAAGAGATGTTTCGACAACAGGGATGGGGGAATGTTAGAAACAGACGGGGATTCATTTATTTGGGGGGGTCTTTATCAGACTAAATCCTACCAAACAGTCGCCTGAATGTATTAAAACAGATGCAAGCAGACTAAAGTAGGGAACTTTTGCAAGAAGCAACATTTTTCAAGGGTCTGGAAAAAAATGCACCAAAACAGCTTCAGGACTGCTTGACCAGGCTGAGTTGAGTAAGGGGGGAGGCTGTGTTGGACAGTCCAGACTCGGTATGCTACAGAAAAATAAAACAAAAACAAACGGCTCTTTAAACATATCTAACATCTCGTCTCCAGTGCGAAGGAATGTTTTTATATAGCACATTCAGCCGTCCTTTTTTAAACAGTGCACATAGCCAAAGCTGAGAGGCCAGGTTCCTCCCATCTACCCTACTGGGTTAAGCAACCATTTGCAAACAGATTCAGCTGTTTGTTATTCTTGTTTTCTGTCCAGAGCTGGCAGTTGGCACTGAACAAGCCTTGTCTTTCCAGAATCTATCTTCTTGCCCCTGTAGCTGTTCCCCATCATCAGTTGGTGTCACTTGTGCTTCAACGCCCCAGAGTTCTTGAAGCAGGCGGCATAGATAAGTGCCCAATAGGACTTCCTGTCTGGTTTCCGGTGCCGCCAGACGGTCCTCTGTGACCGCCGCCCCGTTGCCTGTAAAAGAGCCGCCTTTATATCTGAAAGGCGGCTCGAAAAACTCCATTTCCTGACGGAAATGCGAGTCTGAGCGGGTGGGGGTGGGTAGAGCCCTCTGCGAAGTCCCCAGAGTCTTTTTAAACTCTTGGGGACGAGCAGGTTGGCGCTCCCCCTTTCTCCCTCGCCGCCGCTCCAGGCATCGGGTGCACTATGCACTTTTGCATAGCCAGGCGCTGGAACCGGACTAATCAATGAACTTAACAGATGGATCTACTAAAAAAAAAAATATATGAGATTTGGATTTGGATTTGGGACCCTAAACCGCAAGTATTCTTAATGATTTTACAAGCATTTTAAAGTGAAGAGAAGGAAAAAAAAAAAAAAAAAAGTTTTAAAATGGCCGCGGAGGCTTGGGAAGCAGAAGAAAGAAGAGTCTTTTTATAACAGATACAAAGTTGCGGAATATACAGTGCTGGCTACAATTTGAAACAATAGTTATTTTAGGTTCCTCTCTCCTGGTGACTACTTGATCTTGTTTGGGGGGTAAAAGAGAAAAGTCTGCTGGAAGGATGGCGTTAATAAAAGCTGACAGACAAGAAAGGGGGGGGGGTGCTCCCCCACTCTCTGAGCCTACAGACCCTGCAGAATGGTTGTAATTTAAAAGAATTTATTCAGGAGGAAATGGCAAAATATTATGAAACTGTGAATCAGAAATTTGAAAATTTAAGGCAGGAAATTAAAGAAATGATACAACTAAAGTATGATAATTTGCAACAAAAGATTGTAACAGTGACTAATGGTTTTTCAGAAATTGCGATAAAGTTGGATACAAATATTAAATTGCTAGAGTCTAAAATGGAGAAAATTGATAACTTGGACAATAAAATATTAAGAATTGAAAAGGACTTAGCAAATATTCGAGATAATAGCTTAGAAGTAAAGTCTAAAGAAGAAACTGGTCACGAGACTTATAATCTAGAAGATATAAAGCAAGGAATTGAAAGAGAGGCTGTAATGTTGCATTACAGGATCACAGAATTTGCGATCAGAATTAGAGGCTTACAGGAAAATAATAGTGATGACTTAAGAAAAACATCTGCTCAAGTTTTGGCTGGGATCTTAAAGGTTCATCACGGGGATGTAATCAGTAAAATTGATAAGGCTTACAGAGTGGATTCCTGGATTGCCAAGCAAAGGCAATTGCCTAGAGATGTGGTAATTTACTTTACAGAAAAAGAGATAAGAAATGATATTCTGCAAAAATCCTTTAAAGGAAGGAAGGAAGGAAGGAAGGAAGGAAGGAAGGAAGGAAGGAAGCAAAAAAACCCCACAAATTAAAATTAAAAAACAACAGAATCCTAGAGAATTTTCTAAACACAAAAGTAATGGAAGTAACATCCATGTTGACCTCTTCTTCTTCCTAGAATCCAAGGGTGACACTGAATCCTTTTCTCACTGTTTCTTTCACCCCCAAATGGGGAGCTCTGCAGGCGAACCTTCTCCATGCCAGCCTCCATGTTCAGTTGGCACCACCGGTGTTCCGATGGCAAGTGGGCCAAAAAGGGAAGACACAGGAAGGAAGGTGTGCGAGAGGGTGTTTGTTTATGTCAACGTTGACCCCGGCATCTACCTAGACAAATAAATCCCTGCAGTTTTCTTGGCAACACTTTTGAAAGTGGCTTGCCATGATCTTCTTCCTAGGGCTGAGAGAGAGTGACCGGTCCAAAGTTACCCTATTCACTGTCTTTATATCTAAGGGGGGACTGGCATTCATGGCCTCCTGTTTTCTGCCTTAAGCAGGGGTGGGTTCCTGGGGGTTCGGCAGGGTTTGGGCGATTCTCTAGCCAAGGATCGCCAGGATTCAGCGAACCCCTAAATGCCACCCCTGGCTGGCCCCGCCCACCCCTCCTTTCCCGGAGTCTCCACGCAGCTCCTTTGTCATTCCAGGTAAGTGCAGGGGCCGCGCGGAAGGTCTGGGAGGGCAAATAACGGTCCTACTGGAGGTTTCAGAAGTCTGGAAATGGGTCTGTTTCCGGCCTCCGGAGGGCCTGCGTACCCCAGGGGAAGCAGTTTTCACCCTCCCGGAGGCTCGAACAAAGCCTCTAGAGCCTGGGGAGGGCGAAAAACACACACACACACCCCGCCTTGGTGCAGGCAACCGACTAGGCCACGCCCACCATGGCCATGCCCACTCAGCAATAGGGCAGCGAAGCCCACTCCTGGCTTTAAGCACTACCCCAAAGTTGCTCTCCAGACCATTTAGAGTTACTTATTTCTCCTCTGGCTGCCATGCTGCCAGTATGAACTCAAAAGAGCGCTTATTCATGCCTCTGTCTTCCTCCCTCTCCAATTACGGGCTCCACGGAGTAAACCTATAGCTCTTTCAAATGCTTTGCAAGAGATGTTTCGACAACAGGGATGGGGGAATGTTAGAAACAGACGGGGATTCATTTATTTGGGGGGGTCTTTATCAGACTAAATCCTACCAAACAGTCGCCTGAATGTATTAAAACAGATGCAAGCAGACTAAAGTAGGGAACTTTTGCAAGAAGCAACATTTTTCAAGGGTCTGGAAAAAAATGCACCAAAACAGCTTCAGGACTGCTTGACCAGGCTGAGTTGAGTAAGGGGGGAGGCTGTGTTGGACAGTCCAGACTCGGTATGCTACAGAAAAATAAAACAAAAACAAACGGCTCTTTAAACATATCTAACATCTCGTCTCCAGTGCGAAGGAATGTTTTTATATAGCACATTCAGCCGTCCTTTTTTAAACAGTGCACATAGCCAAAGCTGAGAGGCCAGGTTCCTCCCATCTACCCTACTGGGTTAAGCAACCATTTGCAAACAGATTCAGCTGTTTGTTATTCTTGTTTTCTGTCCAGAGCTGGCAGTTGGCACTGAACAAGCCTTGTCTTTCCAGAATCTATCTTCTTGCCCCTGTAGCTGTTCCCCATCATCAGTTGGTGTCACTTCTGCTTCAACGCCCCAGAGTTCTTGAAGCAGGCGGCATAGATAAGTGCCCAATAAATAAATAAATAAAACAAATGTATTTGTTGTGGCATATTGGCCGCCGGTCCCTCCAGCAGCCAAATCAGATGAGGAGGAGGTGTGGGAGTGGGGGTCACCATCAAGGCAACCTGAGAGCTCTGAGGGGGAAGAGGGAATGGAGCTGTCAGAGAGAGAGACAGAGGCGGAGCCTGGGCCGTCCGTCAGCTCTCAGATGGAGAGTCAACAGCCCCCAGGTCTGGAGGTGGCTGATGAGGAAGAGGAGGAACAGCTGGGTCCAGTGCCTGATCTGCAGATGCGCAAAAGGCAGAGGAGAGGAGAGCAATGGAAATCCGTGGGCCGATCCTTGGGACGGAAGAGCCACCGCTGGGGATAAAAGAGCTCTGGGGATAAAAGGCAGGGGGCGGAGGTGAATAGATGTGGCAGACAACTATTCATCTCCCTGCCGGACAGACTTGTTAGCCTGCGGTGAGAGAGAAGCTTTTTGCCGGGGCTGCTGGCGCTCCTAATAAATGAATCATTGATTTAACTACAGAGGGTTTGTCATGTTTGAGGAGCTGGGTCAGAGCACCTCACATTCTCATTATTTCTATCAACTGTTTGCTTACCACCAGGATTGCCTGCAGGGAGAGAGGCCAAAAGAAATTCAAGGTTCTCTCCCAGTGCTGATTCACCATGTCATGCTGGCAGGCCATAAGATTTTCTGACCTTCTAAAAAGACCATTTAAAATGAACAACAAAAACCTCTTCACTTGTTTTTGTTGGGGACTGAATCATCTCTTTGCACTTATTTGCACTGACAGGGCCAATGACGAGAGACAGATCAAGGGCAGGAACTTTACATGCTGGTCCTGTGACTATTTCTCACCTGGCTTATTGTTGGTGAAAAGAATCTCTGGATTTAACAACACAGAAAATATCCTGGTTTGGCTTCCCTCCCGTAGTTTAGAGAGAGCAGTGAGTTTTCTCCAGGGTGGATAAAAATCAATGATTTTTTTAAAAAAATCAAAAAAATCTGATTTTTTTGATTTAAATCGGATTTTTTTGATTTTTATCGAATTTACTGTAATAAAAAACTTTTGGGGTAAAAATCTATCGTAAGATAGTTTTCTATTTAAGATACATAAATAATTTAGTTTATTCAGCATGAAATGGAGCTTAGTGATGTAGCATGAGGCTGTATATTCTGCAACACTGGGACTATCGGTGAGTCAACAGTGGGTCAAAGGAGTAGCAGAGATGACAGTTGCTCTTTAAAAATTATGATTTAAATCGAGTTGATTTAAATCAAGCCTTTTTACTAGTGATTTAAATCATGATTTAAATTGTGATTTAAATCAACTCGATTTAAATCAAATCCACCCTGGTTTTCTCTGTCTTCAGGCATCTCTTCATAAACCTAGCTTGGACTCTGAGTACAATGAAGACCTGCCACAATGGAATGGTTAAGCAAGCTAACCTGTATCCAGATTCATTATTATCGTAAGCATTTTATTTTTATTTTAATGGGATGTTCTGCAACTTCATTACTCATTAATCTTTCAACCCCCAACTTGTATACACAGGACTCTATTTTCTAACAAGGGCTCTTAATGAATTTGAATGTCCACTGTCTTAATCCCAGCATTAAAGACACCAACAATATGAGTGATTATCCGAAGGATAAGAGGCAAATTTGTGATCAGTAGAAAAATCAGGCATTTTGGACTGAGAATCAGAACTGTGTCTATCTTAACAAACTCCTCGGAAATAGCTGTCTTCCCTTGTTGGTCAGGATGAAGAAGCTTAAAAATAAAGCACAAGATGAGTGCATCTTTCCTAAGCTATTTGTCTCCAGGAGGAAAACAAACAAACAAACCCTTTCCTTCCTTCTCATTAAGTCAATGTGTAGTCCTTTAAGAGATAAGATAGCATTGATGGAGAAAACATTTCCCTGACAGCTTTTATCAGCTAAGCTGTGTTCCTGCAATAGGCAGAAGGCCCCCTGTGATGCTTTCATGATGGGACAGGTTATCCAACTTTGAGGAATGGGCAAAAGGGATCAGTTAGTTGTCTAAGATAGGTCATTTCCACCCCTGCATATTTTAGGGCTGTATGGGAGCAGTTCTCAGGTTACACAAGACACGTTTAATGCGACCTTGTGTTTAGGCAAAGAAACGAAAGCTGCCAGCCAAATTTACCTCATACACAAACATGAGGTGCAGCTGCTAGAGCAGTGATGGCTAATCCTTTTGCTGTCGTGTGACAAAAGCAGAGGGAGCGTGGGGGGGGGCTCCCTCGGGTGTACCCAAACCCATAATTCAATGCCCCCCCCGTGCACCCGTGCATGACCCCTCACACTCTCCCCACTTTTGGCATGCGACAGCAAAAAGGTTACCAGTGGGCCCGGTAGGCCCGTTTCCTCCCCCCCCCCGCCCCAGGTTCCAGAGGCTTTCTTGGAGCCTGGGGAGGGCAAAAATGGTCTTCCCCCCCCAACCAGAGGCCCTCCAGAGGCCGGAAATGGCTCATTTCTCTTCTTCCGGTGGGCCCACAAGGCCCGAAAATTAGCTGGCCGGCGAGCGCATGCGCGCTGGAGCTCAGCTAGGGCAATGCTCGCATGGCCACAGATATGGCTCCGCGTGCCACCTGTGACACGTGTGCCATAGGTTCGTCATCACGGTGCTAGAGTATGCTCAACATTGTGCATTAAATGCAAAAATCAAGGAACAGAACAGTGACACAGACACCATCCGTATACTGACAGAAGATGGAAAAGAGAAGGGATCTTCTCAATCTTTTCATTCTCACTAAAATGCAGATGGGATTTTTTTTTTAAAAAAAAAGATCAATACAGCAGCCTTATCTCTTCCTTCTGAAAATCTGAGCGGGCCGATTCCCTTTTCTCTCACTTTCTACACAACCAATCCATCTCCTGCAATAAATGAACAAATGAATAAACAAATAAATAAGTAAATTTTAAAACCTCCCAAGGACCACCGAAAGAGATTATTATTTTGACTTTACAAGCTTGCCTGCTTATGAATGCCTCAAGTGTAGCTGGATATATAAAAACTCTTCGGTGCGAGAGAAAAGAACCTTATTTTTGGCTTCCGATGATAAGGCACTCGATCAGCTGAGTGAGCCATAGAGAGTAGGCTACCGCATTATTCCTTATGTCGGGTTTACTACTTCCTGGCAGAGCACAGAGTGCAATTTACCTGCCACAGTGAACGACGACAGCCACCAAGTCATACATGCGGTCCAAGTTGATGGCCTCTCCCGATGTGTTGAAGAGTCGCAGCTCCAGGGGGAAGACCACTCGGTAAGACAGCTTGGTGTACCGGTGTAGCTGCTCCATGTATTTGAACCGCTTCAGGTGCAAGGCAAGGATCATCGGAAGCTTCTTCACCCTCATCCTACAAAGTCAAAAGAGGAAGATGGAATGAAGGTTGGCTCCCTCTGATCTGCTTTCTCCTAAGTGGAGATCTTCTACAGCATCTACTTCTGTCATACTATCGCAGCACCGTTGAGAGTGTCCTGACTGTTAGGAAATGAATTTACCTAACTTGTTGAGTTGGCAATATATAAACCATTATTATAGCTTTAAGACTGCTGTATTGCTGTATTGCATCATACTGTGTCCTGATTGGTTAGCTCTGTAGCCAATGTCCTTAAGAGGGAGCTAGTAACATGGTTTCTCTTTCCTGATTGTTATTGCTCTTTGCTGATCTTTGCTGTTTGCTATGTGCTAGTTACTGTTTTTTGCTGTGTTTTGCTACTGTTTGCAAATACAGAAGAACTGATTATTGTGTATGACTACAACGACTGGTAAGAAGACTTTGTTATTGGATTATCCCTGGACTATTGTTTTACTATCTACTGCTTTATCTGTGTATGACCTGGACTGTTTATTGGACTGTACCTTATTACTATTTCCCGAAAGTAAACACAACTCTGTATCTGTGTGTTGGCTGTGTTATTTCGTAACTACTCTCAATTGCTTTCATGTGCACACCCTTGCTACTCAAGGGTTGCTCTGCAGATTACTTAACACTGACATATGGCATTCTTGCATAGTATGGGAGCAACTCTGTAGTGGACAAAAAAGCTCTACAGAGAATCATTAAAACTGCCCAGAATATCATCGGGCTCCAGCTACCAGCCCTGGACGACATCTTCGAATCTCGCTGTTTGAGAAAGTTGCATAACATTCTAAGAGACTCTTCCCATCCTGCTTACAATCTTTTTGGACTGTTGCCTTCTGGCAGAAGATACAGAACAATTAAAACTCGGACCACACGTTTTCTGAATAGTTTTTATCCCAGAGCTATAATCGCACTCAACAATGAACTCAAGGGCCACCATCAGTGAGCTGTTGGACAGCATTATTTGGTCTGTTGTGTGGATGTTTGGGTGGTTTAGTAATGGGGAATTTGTGGTGGGTGGGGATGTGTCTGGGGATTATTATGTATATTGGACCTGGTTTTGGGTGTTAAGTGAATTTTTTTGTATGTGTATACTGTGTATACACATACAATGACAATAAAGTTATTATTATTCTAGGTCAGGGGTGTCAAACTCAAGGCCCGCGTGTTGCTTAGATCTGGCTTGTGGGGCTGCCCTGGAAACAACGGACCAGCTCATGATGCCTCTGCCAGTGAAAACAGAGCTCGGGACGGCCATTGGGGTGCCCCCGAGCTCTGTTTTTGCTGGCAGATGGTTGCAGGAGGCTGTCGCAGCTGAAAATGGAGCTCGGGAGCTCATTTTCACTGGCAGAGCACTCGGGCCACCATAGGTGCCCCCAATATGAGTGACGTCAAGCTGGCCACACCCATCCAGCCCCCCACCGCCCCCAGATCAAACACAACCTTGATGTGGCCCTCAATGAAATTGAGTTTGACACCCCTGTTCTAAGTGTTTTGGGACTCCTTACAACCATGAGGCAGCCTAAGCATGGTGGCTAGGAATTTGGGATGCTGTAATTCCAACATATCTGGAGGGCATCAGTTTGGAGAAGGCTGCAGAAACAGCATTTTATTCTTCTTTTATTCTCTCTTAGTACCACTAAGAGGAGAGGATGGGTAGGGCTAGGCCAGGCCAGTCTCCTCTTCAGACATGCTAGCTGTCTGCTTACAGGGAGAACCAGCAATAATCCTAATCCTAATCTACTTTACAAGGACGTGAGGAATAAAAAAGGGAGCAGAAAGGACCGTGCAGGAATCATGTGAGAAAACCTAAAAATAGAATTGTACGGTGGACATACCACTTGTCTCACATGGATTGCTATTACCATCAAGGGAAGGGAAGGAAGGAAATATCTGTGAATCTTTATTTATTTATTGATTAGCCCTTGGGCCATATCAAAGTGCAGAGTTGCAGAAACAAATTATTACAAAAGTTTGGTAAAGCAATTTAAATGAAATTGGAATAATGCATGATTAAAAATGAAATTAGAAAAAATACGATCTAAAATGAAATCAGAATAAAGTACAATAATTTGAGATACAAATTAAATATGATTAGAATTATATTATCAGTGTTTTTGTTCCTCCTAAAACCTTCCATGGACAGTTATCATATTGTATTGGATAATTTGACTAGTTAATCGACTTTCAACAAACAATGAGTATCTGCTTCACTAAAGGAGAGGTAAAATGAAGTAAGATGAGGTAGGAGAGTTAAGGTAAGATAAATGAAAAAATAAAAGAATGAGGTAAAATTGCTGGCTGGAGAGTTCTGGGAGTTGAAATCCACATCTCTTAAAGTTGTTTGAGGTTGAGGAAAAACAGGTTTAGATGTCGATGGAGATTCTCAGTCATCCAGGTTATGGTTGTCCAATAAGGGCTTTTTCAAGAGGCAACTGGACTTTCTGGTTTTTTCTTTGAAGATGTTTTGCTTCTCATTTTGGATCAGAAGCGAAATATCTTCAAAGAGAAAACAGAAAGTCCAACTGCCTCTTGAAAAAAGTACCTTTGGGATAGGTTTAGATCAGGGGTCTGCAACCTTAAACACTCAAAGAGCCATTTGGACCCATTTTCCACAGAAAAGAAAACACCGGGAGCCACAAAATCTGGGTGGGCGTGGTCAACTCGATGTCACTCACTTCCACCAGTCACATGATCCTCTAGCCACGCCTACCCATCCGGTCATTAGGGCAGAGAACCTGTTAAAAAACACCGGGAACCACAAAACCCTTTTGACATCTCTCTCTTCCCCCTCCCTCCCTCCCTCCCTCCCTCTCTCTCTGTATCTCTCTGTCTCTGCCCCAGCCACTTCTCCATCCCCCGCCGTTGCCCTTACCTTCTCAGGTCAGGCGAGGAGTGACTGGGAGGGGAGGGTGAGGCCAGCCAGTGGTGGGATCACCTGACAGAGAGCCACAGCAGAGGGCCCAAAGAGCCACATGCGGCTCCGGAGCCACAGGTTGCTGACACCCAGTTTAGATAATGCACAAGATTTACAGGTTCCCCTTAATGAGTTCTATAAAACATGTTCTTGGCTGAACAATCTTTTTTTTTTTTTTTTAATTTGATTTATATGCCGCCCTTCTCCGAAGACTCAGGGCGGCTTACAATGTGCTCAGCAATAGCCTTCATCCTTTTGTATATTTATACAAAGTCAGCTTATTGCCCCCACGAACTGGGTCCTCATTTCACCGACCTTAGAAAGGATGGAAGGCTGAGTCAACCTTGAGCCTTGGCGAGATTCGAACCTGCAGTAATTGCAGGCAGCTGGTCTTAATAACCAGCTTAATAACAGGGTGCCTTAAACCCCTGTACTACCAAGGCTCTTAGAACTTAGCCGTTCTAATGACCATATGTGTTTGTGCCCTGAAGAAAATAAAATTAACTTTTATTGCAGTTCATGGACCAGTAATTACATCAATGGAAGTTCTGAATGACTAACACTAACAGTTTCCATTCTGGACATCTGCAAATTTGGTTAGAGAGCATATCCTAACGAACAGATCTACAATCTTAAGTAACAGACCTACAGATTCAGGAGCCAGAAGACAACAGGGGATTCGGGGGGGTGAAAAAAAGCTGGATTTAGTGGATGTATAGGAAGAAATTCTGGATAAATATAGGCCGAAGCAAAAAAAAAAACTTTCTGTAAACAGACACTTTTATTTTAACAAAACAGGCAGGACTTTGCTTTATCTGTGGTGCTGTGGTTAGAGTGCAGCACTGCAGGTAGACTCTGCCCACAGCCAGGAGTTCGATCCTGACCGTCTCAAGGCTGACTCAGCCTTCCATCCTTCCGAGGTCGGTAAAACGAGGACTCAGATTGTTGGGGGCAATAGGCTGACTCTGTAAACTGCTTGGAGAGGGCTGTGAAGTGGTATATAAGTATAAGTGTTATTGCTATTATCTGAAATGTTATTCCAACATATGTTGAAGAAACCATAGCAAAAATACTGGATCTTCAGCAAAGACCTAAAGCCAAAAAGATTTGAGTTTGCTTTAATCGCTGCTTGAAAATCTATCCAAGAAGGCAATTTAAGCTGCCCAGTGATATAACAACCCTTTTCACATACCGTTTCTGAGCCTCCTGTTTGCTGCAGCAGGTCTCACAGTAGTATTTCTGTTCGCTACACAACGTTTCAGTGTTGCTGAAGTCTCTGAAAAGTAACAGACGTACCAATTGTTAGATGTCTTTGAATAGCACAGACATGGCTTTGAATTGTTCATTTCGCCTGGCTTCACCCTAGCTTCATGCCCGCTGTTGAGTAGGGAAATGATCTTGAGGCATATTGTGGTCCGCCAGCAGCCTGCAGAGCTGGCAGCGGAGTCAGACAGCGATGAGGCTGAGGAAGAACATGGGCCACTCCTGGAGGCTGGGGAAGGCCGGGATGAGGGCTCTGCGTCGGAGGCAGAGATGGGGCCAGGGCCATCGGGGAGTGAGGTGCGGATTTCGGAGCCTCCAGAGGCTGACAGTAGAGAGGCAGAGGAACAGAAGGAGCCTGTTTCTAGTGCACGTATGAGAAAAGCTGCCAGAAGGCAGGAGCAGATAAAGCAGAGAGGACGACTCGGGAGTAGGGCCAAGAGATCCCATAAGGTTTAAAAGACCAGCAACGGCTCTTGGCCTCTTTGCCGGAAAACAACATTGAGAGAACTGCTTCTTGTTTCACTGCATTCATTTCTTGTCGGCGTCTTCTGCTTCTGAACTTTTGCCAAGAGAAGCCTTTGGCAGTTTGCCTAATTATCCCAAGGTTGGTGATAAACTAAGGAATGGTGTTTTGAAGAAGTTGCTTTAATTTAGTTTGGACCACGTTGAGAATGAGTTAATTCTCAGCTGTTCTAATAACAGCTGTTTGTTTTCAAACTGTTTGCATTTAATAGTAACTACTTGGGCTTGGGTCACAACAAAGCACTCACATCAGTGCGCGGACAAACAACAAGCCTGGGAGGCTGTTACACAAATGTCGGTGCACTCCCTCCTTCCTGCAATTTCTTTACGTGTTCACTTATTGGATAAATACATACGGATACCTAATTTAGCACGGCCAGCAAGGCATAAAACAGAAACGCGGACATAAAAACAGTAAATAAGCCATACAGGATTCCAAATTAAAAAATTATTAGCATTTTCCCAATTTCTTTCTAACATTTTTCTTTCTAACTTCCCCCCCCCCTTTTCCAGGACTCCATTCATGCTTTTGTAATGTTGCCCCAGTGGTGAAATCTGAACAGGTTTACTACCGCTTCGCTGGCTGGGCGTGCGCGCTGCGTGCACGCATGTGCAGTGTGCACCAGGCACGCCAAAAGGAGGCATGGGGTAAGTAGAACAGCACACGGGGGGATGGATGATCAGCTGTGGCGCGTGATTTTTTTTTTTACTTTTAAAAGCATTTTTTTTTACAACCTATTCAGCCGAATTTATGGATACTTCAATCTGCAGCCAGACTGAGAAAAATCATCACACATCAGCCCCACCTAAGGACATTGGCATGAAGGAACCCACTGTATTTACAATTAACCCCAAAATAAAATATGGGCTTATCTGTTCTTTCAGATAAAGCCAGTTAATTACCTGTCCAAGGAGCTAAAGAAACTACAGGTAGTCCTCAACTTACAACAGTTTGTTTAGTGACTGTTCAAAGTTACAATGGCACTGAAAAAAAAATGACTTATGACCATTTCTCACACTTACAACCTTTGCAGCCTCCCCATGGTCATGTGATCAAAATTTCGACGCTTGGCAACTGACTCATATTTATGACAGTTGCAGTGTCATGCGATCCCCTTTTGCAACCTTCCAAGTTGCAAAGTTGGAAGTTTGCAACCTTCCAAACAAGCAAAGTCAATGGGGAAGCCAGATCCACTTAACAGCCGTGTTACTAACTTAACAACCGCAGTGATTCACTTAACAACTGCGGCAAGAAAGGTGGTAAAATGGGGCAAAATTCACTTAACAACTATGTCACTTAGCAACAGAAATTTTGGCCTCAATTATGGTCCAGGACTACCTGTAATCAAGCAAGAAATAAAACTGGGAAGAAAGAACAGTAGCATTGCTCAAGTTTAATTTCAACAATACTTACAAAAATGTTTAGTAGGACTTCTTATAAGAGTGCTACTCTGGTAAATCTATATAAATTACATACTACCTGTGTTTCCCCAAAAATTAGAGCCTGTCTTATATTTTTTTGAACCCCGAAATAAGCTCTTCGCCTTATTTTCAGGGAGGTCTTATTATTTTGGGGCGCATGGAGCAAGATGGGGCTCCTCTTGCTGTCTTACCTGATTTCCAGCTCTGCGTTTAAATATTTTCGGGGAGGGCTTATTTTCTGGGGGGAGGGGGGAAGCTTATTTTAGCGCATGCGCTCAAAAGCCCGATTGGGTTTATTATCAGGGATGTCTTATTTTTGGGGAAACAGGGTATATTTAATTCAACGGGATGTAATGGATACTAAGAACTTTTTCATAATTAAATGCTGTGATAAATACAGTTTCTAAAGCTTGGGAACAAATACTTTATATTATTCAATAAAAGGCTTTTGGTCTGACAAATAATAGATGAGTTTCTCTGGTTGGGTTTCCTTTGTGTGTGTCTTATTCTCAATCTATTTGATTCTGACTAATCCTGTTACAATCGATGGGACTTCTCTGAAGCAAATAACAGAGGCATTCAAAGGCATTTGTCTTTTGCCAAATATTCTGTCATACCATTCATTCTCTGACTTCCTTGCCTGCCAAGAAAAGCTTCAATGACGCTTCTTTGTTTGACTTTTGCTACATCGTTCTGAAACACCTATATAACTTTTTTTTTCTTTTCTTTTCGTAACCCACTAATCTTTAATAACCGTAAAGCAAAAACGATGCCGGCGGTCGTGAAAATGCGTTTACCTTAAACAGTGAGTTATGGATGTGTTCTGTTCTACATCAACAGAGAGATCAAGAAAATCTTCATCTTTGCTGCTAACCTGCCCAAAAAAAAAACAAGATTTAATAGCATTTTAAAGCATTGCAACATTTTAATTTACCCTATTCCAGGGGTGGGTTCTAATTTTTTTTACTACCGGTTCTGTGGGCATGGCTTATTTTGTGGGTGTGGCTTGGAGGTCATGTGACTAGGTCGGCGTGGCTAGCTGGTCAGAGTCATTTCTGGAAGGTCCTCACACTTACGACCAGTCCTCGCACTTACAACTTGACTCATTTGTTTGCTTTTAACACTGATCAGCTGTAGGATGGCCTTTTGAAGCCCCGCGGCAAGAGTTTAAACAGTTTTTTTCCCTCTAGTCATCAGCTGGGACTCAGGAGGTAGCAATAGATTGGGGGTGGGACCAAATAAAAGGTAAGAATAACGTGGGTGGGGGTGGGGGTGGGGGTGAGAACCACTTCGGTGACGTCATATCCGTCACCACTACCGGCTCGGCCGAACCGGACCAAACTGGGAGGAACCCACCACTGCCCTATTCTCATCCTGTCAATACACCAGGAAGGCCTCCCTGGATCTTAGAGAAACACTGAGGCAGCCAACTTCCCCAATCCAAATTATTGCCACATGAATTTCTACAATCACAGATTTGCATTTAGAATAGAATAACAGAGTTGAAAGGGACTTTGGAGGTCTTCTAGTCCAACCCCCTGCTCAGGTATTTGTGGTCCAATGCAGGGGTAACATCTAATCATGGTTCAGATTTTGTAACTATGACTGTGTATTCGACATAACTCTAAGGCAGGGTTTTATTTTATATTTTTATCGTTAGTTGTGAAAACCGTCTGGGTAAGTTTTGGGTCATTCTCTCTCTCAGCCCAATCCACTTCCCAGGATTGTTTCTGTGGGGAAAATACGAAGAGGAAATATTATTAAGAATGTTTGCCACCTTGTTCTATTTTAAAAAAGGTGGAATAAAGATGACGATGATTATCATCATCATCCATAGAAGTTCACGGCTAGCTACTGTGACTATTTTTCTTGGGGAAAAATAAAGGACAAACCTGAAAAATCTGAAAGATATCCATAAGTAAATTTAAATTTAAAACACACCCAAAGGAAATTTAAAACACACCCAAAAGTCTAGGGCAGGTTTTAAACTGTTTGACCCAATTAACTCTTTTCCCAGTCTCCAATACAAGTACTCCTCAGTTTATGGCCTGTTGCTTAGCAACCATCCAAAGTTACAACAAACCTTCTCAGATCTGATTATGACCTGGATTTGTGTCCCGCAGTCCCATGATTCTTATTTATGTTATTTTTTTATTGCTTTTGCCAGAAATGGGCATACACTTCTGGTTGCCGGCAAAAATATGCGCATTGTAGCTAATGGATTGTAGTTAATGACTACAATGTTACCTGCTTACCGACTGGCATGACATACGATTCTAATTCCAGCCTCAATTATGGTTATAATTCAAGGACTATCTGTAGTTTTTTCTCCCCTCCCAAATAACATCCGCTCTGTTGTTTACAGAAGCACAAGTACCAAACTGGATCTTTGATCCACAAACCAGCAATGACAGATGGCTCTATTACCCCTGGGGTATGTCGAAATTAACCTCCACTTTAAGAACCGCTGGTCTAGGGAATGTCAAGAAATTAATTCATTATAGCATTAAAGTTTCATGCCTGCTACTATTATATTCAGTCCAATTCTCGCTGAAGGCAAATAATTCTAACTTAATTCTGCACCTGACCTACTGAAAGGAGGCGATTGTCAAGCAGCAGGGAAATCAGGAGGATCGGGGAGTTCAAATGAGATTTATTTATTAAAGGTACAAGAACCTGAACTTCTAACGGTCAAGGGAAATTAGCAGGAGTTAAGAACAGAAAGGAATTCAAGTTGGGATGGACTTAGATCTCTTTTGGGCGCTCAGCGACTCATGACTTATGACGTGTTTGACCCCTCCTTCGGGCTCAGTGTTCTGACCTACGCTTCCTGAGAAAGCATAAACCACAATTTTAATCCCCAAAAAAACCCTCTTTTATTGAGACAGCTGTGAATTATGGTCATTCACAGCTCGTAATGATTCACGAACAGTCTGTGAAGATTCCGACAGATGTCTGCTCGAGTTGATACAGCCTTTCAGGGTAATGTTGATAAGCCCCCACCTTTATCTCCCTTGAAATGTTGCCAGAGACCTAATTGTCAATTAGTTTTGCAGGGCCAAATGGAGCACAGAGTCTAACGGACTTCTCAGAGCTTCAATTGACTATATGAACTAATTGCTTCCTGCAAAGGCTCACGCCCGTTTGCTCCTCTTTTATGTCATGGGAGGGGCCAATCAACTCCAAGTCTTACTCCTGAGTCACCCTTTTTTTCCTTCATTGTTCTTGCCTTCTGGCAGCTCTGCGCATGCGCACACAGGGAACAGGCTCACATTCTTCTTCTCCCTCGCTGATGTCAGATTCTGGAGGCTCCGGAGACAGCACATAACTACCAGGTGGCCCTGGCTCCCTCTCTGCTTCCGACGCAGAGCCCTCGTCCGAGCCTTCCCCAGACTCCAGGACTGGCCCATGTTCCTCCCGAACCTCCTCACTGTCTGACTCTGCTGCCAGCTTCGCAGGCCACCGGCAGACCACAACACTGAGGCTGGTCATCTCCTACACTTACGAAGAGTAGTTCTCTCTGAGTATTGTGGCCTGTCAGCGGCCTGTGCAGCTAGTAGCTGATTCCGACAGCGAGGAGGCTGCACCAGCAGCCTGTACAGCTGGCACTCGAGTTAGACAATGAGGAGGCTGGAGAAGATGTGGTGCTAGAGGCGGGGATTCAGCCAGGGCCTTCAGAACCTCCAGAAGCTCCCATAAGTGAAGAGGAAGAAGAGGAGGAGTCTTTTCTTGATGCACGGGCGCGCAGAGCTGCCAAAAGGCAGGAGTGGCTCCTCAGGAGGAGGTCTCCTCGAGAGTAAAGCTTGGGGCTAATTGGCCACTCCCTTAGCCTATTTAAGGAAGGACAACGACTGAGACAATTTGCAGGGAACAACTTCATTCACTCTCCTTCGCGTCCTGATCTTAGTTCTCTTATCAGTTTCCTGCAAATTGCTTCTGGGCTTTCTGCCAACCATAGTAAGATTACGATTATTTATTCTTTGGATTCTTGTAGGCTGTTAAGAAAGTTAATTAACAGCCTTTGTTTGAAAAAGACTGATTTAATTTAGTAAACTAAGGTTTGTACAGACTTTGTGTGTGCTGCGTTCTTTGGGGTCCGTAGCTGGGGCAGAACATTGAATCTGCTCTTCCATTGGATGCCATACCCAGCCTGATGTCATAAAAAACCTCCAACCTCTTTGGATTTTAAACTACACATTTCAGAAATGTTTCGCAAACTTCAAGCAAATGCAATCCTTCCCTGCAATACTTAAAAGCACCACAGCCCCATCAGAACTGCAAAATATCTGGACGACACTAGATGGCAGCCAAAAATTAGTTTTCTCCATATCTCTTTGCTGCCATCTAGTGGCTGCCTTAGATTGGTTGCTCTTATTAAAATGGCCACAATTTTGTTCAGCTTGCCCAAGACAAGAAAGGCAACTCTGCTTAACGTACACTCAAACAAGGTGACTTCTTCATTTGGTGGCATCTTTTTTTCATTCAGAAGCCTGAAAAAGACGTGGCTGCCTCACTCAGCAATGGAGAAGGGCTGTCTTTGTGCAAAGATTGAAGGGTGTCTTCCAAGTAACACCTCAGCTGCGCGCTGGCTTAATCTTTAAACCTTTTCCAAAGTTGTAGATTTGTATATTAAAAGTATGTACACACGTTACATGCTTGCATACAAGTAGCCTTTGAGTTATGAATGCCCTGTTTCCCCCAAAATAAGACCCAACTGGAAAATAAGCACTAGCATGATTTTTCAGGATGCTCATAATCCCTATGCCGAAAATAAACCCCAGTTAAGATAATCATCCAGATGAATGCATTTAGTACCATATTTCCCCGAAAATAAGACCCAACTGGAAAATAAGCACTAGCATTTTTCAGGATGCTCGTAATATAAACCCTACGCCAAAAATAAGCCCCAATTAAGATCATCATCCAGATGAACGCATTTAGTACCATATTTTCCCGAAAATAAGACCTAACTGGAAAATAAGCCCTAACACATCTTTTGGAGCAAAAATTAATGTAAGACCCAGTCTTATTTTTGGGGAAACACGGGTAATTCCAAACTCTTCCAAATTACGATGGCCTGGGAAAGAGTGCTCGACGGTCTGAAAAACACTTCTGGCTGTCACAAAATGTTGCACTGCCCATCAAGTGATTGCTTGGCAATACTGTTCATACTTACCATCATTTGCCACGCTCCCTGCAATCTTCTCTGCCGGCTTCCCCAGAAAGTCAGTGGAGAACCTGGCAGTGAAGGTTGCATGTTGTTGTCACCTGGGGATAGAATTCCCTCTTGTCTCTGGGCACTGGCTGAAGGGAATTGGCATCCTTCTGCGAAGATTTAAGCTCCGTTTCTGCTTCCCACTAAAGGAGTTCGCTTCTGTGCACAAAGAACTGTACTTCTTCTGCAGGATGCAGAAACAGAGCTCCGGTCCTTAAGATCTGACCTCTGTTTCTGCACCCTAAAGGAGTTCCTTTGTTTGCATGGAAGAGCTGAACACTCACTTGTGCAAGGCAGCCTCTGTAGAAAGAGTGTGCCTCACATTAGCTGGGCATGCCGCTAATGCATACCCAGCTGCAAAAAAAAAATGCAAAGTTAAGTGGACCAATCTATGAATGTTGCCAGGCCCTGTAACAGGTCAAGCCTTGCTGGGCGTGGTGGGGTAGGCAGCAGGTCCTGGCCTCCACCACCCCAAGGCATCCCTGTATTCCCCTTAATGACCCACAGAATTGTTTAACAAGGGCAACTGAGAGAGCCGGGACTGCAGTCATTGAGCAAAGTGGTCACACGAGTGTCTCACATAACAATCACTTCACTCAACAACCCAAATTCTAGTTGCAGTTGTGGTCGTAAGTCCAGAAATTCCTGCAGGTGTTTGCATATTAAACGTATGTACGTGTGCTCTTTGTACAGGTTTGCATATTTAAATTATGTACACGTGCCTGCTTTCTGCATAGAGATTTGTATACTAAACTTATGCACCGTGCTCGTTGCATATATAAAGGAACTAGACTGAGAGATTAGCAGTCCCTTTAAAAAATAATTTTCACAATAAATGGGGACAGATAAATGGTCCCAAACACACACACAATAAATAAATATTGTCGTTACCAACTAGGACCATCCTCATTTCAAAGACTTTATAAATGAAGAGATTTCTTTGACTATGCAAGGATTATCCAGCTGTTTACAGGTAATTCTTGCTTTAATCCTGCCAATGCTTACAGTTTCACAGTTCAAACATCTCGTTTCATTGGTCAAGGTTCCTTGAAAAATCTCGTGCACCCAGGTGAGCTCCTGTTTGTTGTTCTCTTCTGCTTCGTTCATGTTTCCATTTTTCAGTTTGCCGTTTTGTTTCTCCTGCTTTTTCTCCTCTTGTAGAATGTCGGCAACCGTGTTCAGCAAGTAATTCAAAAATTCGTGAGCATCCTGCTGCATGTAGTTGTCAAAAAGATCTATTTTAAAGAAAAGGAAAAAGAAAAGGATGTTATTTATTTATGTAAAAGATGGCTAGAGCCGTCCGTTTTGTAGTGCACACAAATCTGGTCTGTTAACAACAGGGATAAAGAAACAAGAGAAATCAATACAGAAAAAAAAGAATGAAAGGAATAAAAAAAATCAAATTAAGAAAAACCAGAAGCCCATTTTTCTCTTCAGGCTTTACAATCCTAGGACCAGTTCTTTTTACTGTGACGGGCATTGGCAGTCAGGATGGTTAGCAAACATGAGGATCCTAACAGCTGTCGTTTCATGGCTGATCATGGATCCTTTACAGGATTCCTTGAGATCTCATGATCATTCCAGGTAGTGCCTTGAGTGAGGCAACTCCTGGATGAAGGACATTTTTTATACCAGAAGAAAGAAATGTCTTAAACCACCATATTGAGCAGTGGTAGGCGCAGTGGTTAGAGTGCAGTACTGCTGGCTACTTCTGCTGACTGCTGGCTGCCTGCAATTTTGCAGTTCAAATCTCACCAGGCTCAAGATTGACTCAGTTGTCCATCCTTCCAAGGTTGGTAAAATGAGGACCTAGATCAGTGATGGCTAACCTTTTTGCCTTTCGATGCCCGGGGGGGGGGGGGGCGGGGGAGGGTTGCACGCACACGTGCCCACGTGCATGCGCACGCAACCCCACCCACCCCCACTCCTGGCACATGATGGCCTGGTAGGCAGTCATGGACCTAGATTATTGGGGGCAAATACCGTATTTTTCAGACTATAAGACACACCGGAGTATAAGATGCACCTTAGTTTTTTGGGAGGAAAATAAGAAAAAAGCTGATTGGCGGGTGGATCAGCCTCCCAGAATACCCCCAATAAACTGTTCCCAGAGGTGAATTTTAGCAACAGGTTCATTGGTTGTGAGCTCTGTGCCTTGCTTTTTTTTTCAGTCTCTGAAACCTCCGGCTTTTTTTTCAGCCTCTGAAACGGAGGCTTTAGAGGCTATTTTTCTGAAGCTTCGTTTCGGAGGCTTTTTTTCTGAAGCTTTTTTTCGGAGGCTTTTTTTTTCTGAAGCTCTGTTTTGGAAGCTTTTTTTCTGAAGCTCCGTTTCAAAGGCTTTTTTCAGCCTCTGAAACCTCCGTTTCAGAGGCTGGGTGGGGCTACATTCAGAGTATAAGACGCACCCAGATTTACACCCTCTTTTTTTGGGGGAAAAAGTGCGTCTTATACTCCGAAAAATACAGTACATATGGTATACGTAAACTATGTGACATATATCAGACTGCACCCTGAGAAAGTAATCGTGGTAGGTCCTTCACCATCGGCTTGAACAGCTTGGATCTACACATACCATTCTCCTTCCGTAGCCTTGAGATGAATTTTTTGGGAGGAATCACCCCAACTTTCTTCTTCTGTGTAGCAATGCTGTGGAAAAGATCTGCTAGACACGTCAGGAGGTTTTCTTTCTTTTTCTGCTGGGCCTTATACGCCAGCACATTTTCCCGAAACGGCCGGCAGAAGTACAGAGCTTGCAGGACGGAGTTACAGTAACACGTATTGCCAAACTGCAAACAAGCATAGAGATAAGCAACGGATGAAAAAAAACCAGCTAATGCAACATCTGATTATTAATCCAACTTGCTCTTTATTCTCCTACCACTGCTAATCATTACTCAAGCAACCAATCAATGAATGAATGGAGATTACAGGTGTCTTAATTGTCATCTGATTTGGTATTAAATCATATTTTTCAGAGTATAAGACACACTCCCCCCCCCCACAAAAGAGGGTGAAAATTTGGGTGCGTCTTATACACCGAATGTAGCCCCGCCTTTGCCACCCTCCACCCTTTCGCCTCTGTCTCCCAGCAATTTGCCTCCTTGCAGCAAACAGAAAACAGCCCGTTTCACTTTCAGCTTCAGCATAAGCAGCTGATTGTCGGTTGGATCGGCCTCCCAAGCCATCAGCTGTTTCAGGCTACAGGGATTGCCATTGCCTATTGCTGCCTCCGCGCCCCCCATTTTTGACTTCCATTGTTTGCTGCTTGCTGCAAGGAGGCAAATTGCTGGGAGGCAGAGGCAGATTTTTTTTTCTTGTGCTAATCAGGCGGTGCTGAAACTGAAACAAGTTTGCTGTAAGGAGGTAAATTTCTGGGAGGCAGAGGCAGATTTTTTTTCCTTGTTGAATCGGTAAATGAACTTGGTGTCCTTTCAGACCTTCACATTAAGTACAAAACGTCCATGGAGATTCTCAGTCATCCAGGTCATGGTTGTCCCGAAAGTGCTTTTTTTTCCAAGAGGACTTTCTTGTTTTTCTTTGAAGATGTTTCGCTTCTCATCCAAGAAGCTTCTTCAGCTCTGATTGGATGGTGGGGAATGGAAGGATTTATACTCCTTGGAGATACGCTGGTCATTTGCATCCTTCTAGAGAGTGGTTGAGGCCACTTAGAGGTTTATCTCAGTGGTGGAATTCAAACTTTTTTACTACCAGTTCTATGGGCGTGGCTTGGTGGGCATGGTGTGGCTTCGTGGGCGTGGCAGGGAAGGATACTGCAAAATCCCCATTCCCTCCCCACTCCTGGGGGAAGAATATTGCAAAATCTCCATTCCCACCCCACTCTGGGGCCAGCCAGAGGTGGTATTTGCTGGTTCTCCGAACTACTCAAAATTTCCACTACCGGTTTTCCAGAACCCCGTCAGAACCTGATGAATTTCACACCTGGTTTATCTGTGTCCTCAGGGTCACCTGAGCAGTGCAAAAAAATTTCTTTCCATTCCCCACCATCCAGTCAGAGCTGAAGAAGTTTCTTGGATGAGAAGCGAGACGTCTTCAAAGAAAAACGAGGAAGTCCAGTTGCCTCTTTCGAAAAGCACCTTAGAGTTAAGTACAGTACGTTCTTCGCAAGGACATGAGAATGCAGCTTCCATACACATCTGCATCCACTATCTTAATTGCATTGATCCACATTTAGTCAAAACCCCTTTACAACTTTGTAATAGATTCTTCAACTTTCAGGCTTTCAGTCCCCCATATGTGCAAATTTAATCCTCATTATCTGCAAATTTACCCTTTTCAGGGGAAGATACACTCTCAAATGTCAATGTTCCCCAGCCCAGTTTCTTTCAGTTATGCTGCCTACTAACTCCTATGACCCTCAGCTGGCTTGGCTAAAGGATTGCTACTAAGTAGTGAAGGGCTGATACAGGGTTGAAATGCTCCCGGTTCGGCCCAACTGGTAGCGATGATGGCTGCTGGTTCGGAGAACCGGTAGCAATGACAGCTTGAGGCTCTGCCCACCCGCCCGGTCATCGTTGCTTCCTGGTTTTAACCAGGAAGTAACCTGTTTTTTACCCTCTGCGCATATGCAGAAGGGTTTGCGCACGCGCAGAGGGTCAGCGCGCATATGCGACGCGCACAGCGTGTGCACTTCCGAACTGGTAGGGAAGGTAAATAGATTTCACTCCTAGGCTGATATCTAAATATCTGCAGGGCACTATGTTAGGGAAGGCAGAATGGAGCGATAATACTTACGTTGACCAGTCCAAAGTAGTGTTCATTAAGTGGAAATTGCTCTGGCCCAATGTCTTTTTCCAGAGCGGAGGCATTGGTGCCCTGGGGAAAAAGAAAGAGGCCATTATTCTCCCACAAATTCAAATTCAAATAGAATCAGAGAGGGACAAATGTGTTCCAGAAAGGGCAAGTTTTCTCGCTTCACGAAAAATGGCACATTATGGTTCTCACAGACAGTGCTTCAGAGAGCTGTGCTCACACACCCTCCCTCTACTCCATTGGGGGCCCAAGGTTGCTGCAAAAGTAATGAATGTTCTCATCCTTTTGATGCCCCAAAATATAGTCTTCAAAAAAACTCACTAAGGGGCTTTTTATCCACATCCTAACCATAAAGCGGACCGGAATGCCAGCAATTGTAAATTAGAAGGAGAGCATGAGATCCATTCTTTTGGAAGGAGGAAACTGGAATCAATAGCTAAGGAAGATGGTTTATTTGCCTGCCCTGCCCATGACCAAATCCATTAACCTGCCATCAATCATTTCCTAGGCTAACATACAAAAATAAACACTCCCCGTTTTACTGATGCTATCCAGGTTTATTTAGCTTTGTAATCTTATCAAATTGTTTCCTATCTACTATTTTACTTTGTCTTAAGTTGCAAGGGCAGAGAAAGGGGAATTTTTACTTGCTTAGATTAAGAGAGAAACTCTGATTTCCCCCCCTCACCCCCCAGTAGGAGAATGTTTTCAGAAGAGTTGAATGGCAGAATGAGAGCGAAACCAGATTAATAGCAGAAAAAGGGCGCAGGCTTTAAAAAATAAAACCAACTTGCCTGTAGGTGGGAGCTCCTAATACAATGTCATGTATCTCTTTAAATTTCAGTTTGCTGTCAAACATTATCTGTTGGAATTAGGCTAGCCAAGCTTTTAAATGTATCATTATTTGCAAACAGGAACATCCATAAGGTAAAGTTAAAGGTTCCCCTTGCACATATGTGCTAGTCATTCCCAACTCTAGGGGGCGGTGCTCATCTCCGTTTCAAAGCCAAAGAGCCAGCGCTTTCAGAAGACGTCTCCGTGGTCTTGTGGCCGGCATGACTCAATGCCAAAGGCGCACGGAACGCTGTTACCTTCCCACCAAAGGTGGTCCCTATTTTTCTACTTGCATTTTTTTACCTGCTTTCGAACTGCTAGGTTGGTAGAAGCTGGGACAAGTAACGGGAGCTCACCCCGTTACGTGGCACTAAGGATTTGAACCGCTGAACTGCCGACCTTTCGATCGACAAGCTCAGCGTCTTAGCCACTGAGCCACCGTGTCCCTTTCAGAACATCCATAAGGGAGGCTAAAATAAAAAAATTAAGATGATGGCATTTAAAAAATTCTGGATGGCAGTTCAATTGCAACGATCTGGCTAGGATTTTGATTTTCTGCATCTGTTGGGCACCCATGCTTGTAGCAGTTCCAATAAAAAAAGCTTTTACAGTTTAACTTCAAGCCACACAATGGCTCTTCATTCTGCTGAGCTTCCCCCCTCATTCTAGCACGCTGGAAGTTGCCGAAGTGAGGAGTCAAGACATATTTTAAGTACACAAAAAAACGATAGTATTTTTGAAGAGGCTCAGACAGGCACCTTCCTAATTGGCTGAGCTAGCATTAGAAGGAGGATGAGCAGTGGTGAAATCCAAACTGGTTTGCTACTGGTTCGCTGGCTACTCATGCACACTGCATGCCAAAAGGAAGCTTGGGAAGGTAAGTAGAAGGGAGGAGAGGATCAGCTGTGGTGCACGATTTAGCTTTGCTAGAAAGCAGGATTTCCTGCTTTCTAGCAAAGCTAAACCCGCTGCACAGCTGATCGTCAGAAATACCAGTTTGGAGAAACCGGTAGCTTTTTTTTTTTTACTATCAGTTTGCCCGAACCGGTAGTTTTTAGCACTATCGGTTCGCCCAAACCGGAGCGAACCGGTAGCATTTCACCCCTGAGGATGAGTTACAATACAATCAAGCTTGCAAGATTCTGTTATTATAGCCACTCAGTAAAAGTAATTTTAGCCACTTGTGGAGTTGATTTCTGAGCCTGGTTCTACCTCAAAGAGCTGACATCATACCGAAACAGCCCATTTTGGATATTCTTCATAGGCTTGACTTCATATAAGGTTATCATATCTGGGTTGCCAGGTTCCACATGACCACTAGTTGGCATGAAACAGAGAAATAAAACAACAAATTATTTGTAGATTGTTCAGTTCTGGCCCTGATTGTATTAATTCGTGCAAAAAGATCGCCCAAACTGACAATAACGATGACGTAACACAGTCGCCAAAATGATTCAATCTGTAAAAATTATCACGTTCCTGCCAATTAAGTTAAATTTAATTGATGGGAACGTAAGAGTTGAAAATGTAGTCGAGAACGAGCGGGTTAAAATATTGTGGGATTTCCAAATACAAACTGATAGCTTCTTGGCTTATAACACACCAGATTTAACTGTAGTTGAAAAGGAGAAAGTATGGATAATTTGATGCAGCCATACCAGGAGATAGTAGAATAAAAAACTTGGGGTAGATCCCAAAACATCAAGAGCTGAAAAATTGAAAGATTGCAAAATTATGGCATAAACTGGCTGTGGTGATTCTAATGGTTATCAGCACTCTGGGTGCCATACCAAAAACTCTTGGACAGCACTTTATTTATCAATCTGTACATTGATAAAACTTCCATCTGTCAATTACAAAAAGGCCAGATCCGCACATATATTATGTTAATACATGATGGCATCCTAGATTCTTTGGAAGATCTCAATGCATATGAAGGCCAAAACCACTTAAAGAACTGGCATATATAAGTTTCTATTTTTTGTAAATAATAATAATAATAATAATAATAATAATAATAATAATAATAATAATAATAATTATTATTATTATTATTATTATTTAATTATTAATAATTAATAATAATAATAACTATTATTTATTATTATTTATATTATTATTTATTATTATTATTATTATTATTATTATTATTATTATTATTATTATTCTAGAAGAGGATGGAATAGAACTAGAGAATGAAGAAATAATAAAGGCAGTAAAATCAGAAGAAGGCTACAAGTACTTGGGGATTTTAGAAGCCTCTGACTTAATGCATAATAAAGTCAAGGAATTAACTTCAGCCAAGTACATTCGGTGAATTCATAAGATATTAATGTCCAAATTGAGTGGAGGAAACATCATAAAAGCCATAAATACCTGGGCTATACCTGTGATTAGATACTCTGCAGGAATAATTGACTGGACCCAGATGGAGTTAGATAATTTGGACAGAAAAACAAGGAAGCTTATGACAATGAATCATGCCTTGCACCCTAAAAGTGATGTTGACCGATTATATTTACCAAGAGCAGAGGGTGGTCGAGGACTCCTACAAGTAAAGCAGACTGTGGAAGAAGAAAAACGCAGCTTGAATGATTACATCCAGAAAAGTGAAGAACCAATGATTAAGGAAGTAAATAAAGGAGGCTTTTTAAAGACAACTAAAACAAAAGCAGAATATAAGAAAGAAGTAATTGAGCAGCGAGCTGAAAATTGGAAAAGCAAAGCTCTGCATGGCCAATACTTGAAAAGTATTGAAGGCAAAGCTGACCAGAAACTAACTTGGAACTGGTTGAGATCAGGAGTACTGAAAAAAGAAACAGAAAGCTTTATTTTGGCAGCTCAACAACAAGCCCTAGCCACAAACCGCATGAAGGCAAAAATTCAACATGTTACCACCAACAGCAAATGCCGCCTCTGCAATGAGAAAGATGAGACAGTCGACCACCTGATCAGTGGATGCAGCAAAATTTCACAAACTGACTACCTACAACGCCATGACCGTGTTGCTAAGATCATTCACTGGAAATTGTGCCAGAAGTTTGGATTTGAGTACAGCAAAAACCACTGGGAACATCAGGTTGAGGAAGTTTTAGAGAATGAGAAACTCAAGATCTTGTGGGACTTTAAGATTCAGACTGACAGGCACTTGGTCCACAACACACCTGACATAACAATAGTTGAAAAGAAAAAAGTATGGTTCATTGACATTGCAATACCTGGTGATGCACGGATTGAAGATAAGCAGCAAGAAAAAATCACAAAGTACCGGGACTTGCAAATTGAAGTTGAGCGACTGTGGAAAAAGAAATCGTGTGTTGTCCCGATTGTAATTGGAGCCCCTGGAGCAATACCCAAAAGGCTACCCCGCTATTTAGAAATTCTAAATTTGCCGGACTTGAACATTTTGACTCTACAAAAAACCACCTTACTCGGAACAGCTTACATCCTCCGACGATACCTTAACAGTTCCTAGGTCCTTGGTTAGGACTCGAGCTGCTGAGCTATTAACCAGCCTCAAAGGCTGTGAATCTCACTAAAGATTAATCAATAATAATAATGATGATGATGATGATGATGATGATGATGATGATGATGATGATGAAAAAGAAAAAGAAGAAAAAGAACTAGAAAAAATCATGAAATATTGCTACCTGGCCATCGAAACTACATGGCTATGGATGAAACATGTAACAGTGATACCCATTATCATCGGGGCACTTGGTACCATGTCCAAGAATTTTATAACATACATCAGCAAATTGCAGCTTCCTGCAATAACACCAGCAGAACTGCAAAAAACTGCACTACTTGGAACATCGTACATCTTAAGAAGGTACTTGGTTGATAACTAGGACACTGGCAGCAACCCGTATCACCCATTAGCACCAGTCAATGGTATTTGTGATGCATTTTTGAATGTTCAGTTGACTGAGTTTCATGTTTAATGAATAAAGTAAATAACAATAACAATAATAATAATAATAATAGTAATATAACAATAATAATTTAAAAACAGAAGCTAATGCAGTTAAACTAACTGCCATTGTTAGACATTTCTGCTGCGTTTATTACAATGATCCACCTTCAAAAGTACCACAGTTCATCTCTAAGGCTTTGTGATGATTTTGACCTGGAGGACATACAATCATCAACTGTGGACAATATTTAATGGATCCGATTATACCGTCAAAAAAAAATTAAGTTTTATGGCAACTCCTCTGGGAATG